AAATCCATTGATATGACAACTTCAAAAAACTTTTTTCGAAGCTAGAAATCATGATTTTTTTCAAATATTTCCAGGGATACTTTGTTTTCTGCTCTCTAGACTTCCTCTCGCGGTTCTAGTGCTCCACCCTTAGAATATAGACCTTACTGGGGTTTGGTGACACTTTGTGTTGCTTCAGTCACCTGCTCACAGCTCACCCCCCTAAAATTTCTGGCACCACCCCAGTAAAAAATATGAAAATCCGTCTGTGGTTTATATTCATTGTAGTCAAAGAAATACTGTTATGTTGCAAAGACAAACATAGAAATACAAGGATTGTTATGTACACTTTCAACAGTATACACATAAATTTTGCATATGAAAACATATTACATTATATATATTCACTCCATCAAAGGTGCCATTTTGAATTCAAAATAAATGACGTATTCTTAATGAAATAATGACATAATTTTCTGAGTCGCTGATTGGCTACAAGCTAACAGTTAACAGCTAACAGTTAAACAGTAACAGTTACAACAGTAACAGTTTAGTTCTTGCACTTGCACTTGACGACTGTTTTCAGATTTCAGCTAGGCCACAGAATAAAGATCAGTAACAGAAGGGCCACTCAGCGGTGCAACATGTCCTCGTTTTTTTATGCAAAAATATGCAGTTTACTGGCCAGAAGGCGGAGCAGCCAGCCAGTACAGCGTGTTTATTGGCCAGAAAATGTCATTGACTGGCTAGGAAAATGGCGGCCAACATGCGTAATGCGACATGCGCGAGGACAGAAACTTCAAAGCTTCCGACGTAAGTGGCCCTTCTATATGGATCTTTATTCTATGGCTAGGCTCCGAAGGCGAATGTGTGATCACGAATATGTGGAAATTATCTCACTAGTATGTACAAAGACTGTACACCCTTTAACTCATTGAACTCCAGTGTCCCTACTTGACAAGTAAAATACTCTGGTGTTAGTTGGAGTAAAATAGAGTAGGGTGCATAGCAGGGGTGCAATGCAACGTAATTGGTTAACTAGACTGTCTAGACACATCTAATAGGCAGATAGTCTTGTTAACCCATTGAGCACAAGCACTCTCCTCTTCATTAGAAAAATTGTCTGGCATTAGACAGAGTAAAATAGTAAATTAGCAGAACACATTACGGAACAGTTCAACCTAATGGGTTAACTAGACACATAGGGAGATAGTCTTGTTAACCCATTCAGCTCCAGCACTCTCGCCTTGGCGAGTAACATTTTCTAGCATAAGACGGAGTAAAATTATTAAGCAAGGTGCATTAGGTTGCAGCTTAATTGGTTAATACCAATGACCCAGATTAGACCATGGGGCGAAATTTGTAAACAGCTTAGAAATTGAAATTCGTTCCTGAATCATGAAACCAATCAAAACTCGGTCAATAGGTGCAAGAATATATACTAAGAGTAAATACACAAATTTGTTCAAAAATTTCCTTTGCAAAATCATCAAATTCACGCGACTTTTCGGTATAAACAAAACCCGTCCGCCATCTTGGATTACAAGGCTCCACTTAGATACTTCATGTTATTTTGGCCCCTGTGACAGGATACTTCATGTAATTTAACGTTATTTTTAATCAGGTAACATTTGCAAAATTGAATAAACACGCTAATCGTCGAAAATTTAAGGAGGGTCTGAATGGGGTTAACTGACTACTGACATTTGCCTGAATTTTTTACTGACAACTGACAAAATATCCTAACTGACAACTGAGAAATGATGAAAAAATGATGAGTTAGCATTTTGCAGTAACTGACTACTGACACCTTGCAATATATCGCACTGACAACTGACAACTGGCTTAAAGTTTAGCTGACAACTGACACCCAAAGACCCCCATTAAGACCCTCTTTAAGGCGTACTGGAAAATTTCGTAAATAACATATATTCTTTTAATCATATCGTTTATAATTTCTTTCAATTTCTCAAGTAATCAAGAAGCGCGAATATGCACGCGCGATGGTACACAGGCATGTTCACTATTAGGATATGTTTATGTAATATGTATTATTTTTAAAAATCCTCACTGCTCAGTCCAGCCAGGAACATCATCTCCACCATACATACGAGCCATTATAAACATGAAATCCCTGACCTTTGCTTTGGAGAGAAGGTCTTTCCAATGAGCGGGAATGTTTGGCACATTCCTCTGCTTGAGTGAAAACTCTAACCCCTTTCTTAATGATTGGAACATTAACTTCTTGTGGTTGATCAGTTGCTTCATCTTCACATGTCTGGATCAATATACCATTTGTATGATGGGTGGTACCTTTGCCAGAAGACGTTTCTTCATTGAAATCAATGTTGTCCCACACAACAGTTGGGATGCTACCTACCTTAAAGCCTTCTGGTACTTTACCAGCTTGTGAGACTCTATACTTTGCCAAGGCAGTCTCGTACGAAAGAATTGTGTCAGAGGATGCACAATGACCAAACTTTGCTAATATTTGAAGCAGATGAGTTGAACCCGTCATGTGTCTCACAGTAAGACCAAGAGCAAGCGACTTTGGGGTCTGCTTTCTGCCTTTCGAGGAAACATAAACGATGTCTTGGCAAATTGCATTTACCTTTGGGACAAACTCTTCAGCAATATCAACACATCTATCATTAGTTACATTGGTGTACTCGTCGTCGGATACAGCTCCAGTAATATGCGCAATATGGTTGAATAGTTCAACTGGTACCATATTAGTCTTAATTAGGTCTTTACTTCTAGGGGGCCATTTGCTCTGCTCTGGCTGGACATTGTTTATTTTGTTCTTCAAATAAACACCTTTAAAATGGAAAAATGTCCCTCTGTTGTAAAGTTGTAATGAGTATTGTATAGGATTATACGTTTGAGGGAAGGACAAATAAATTTGAATAATTTCGTAATTTATACATTAATTTTGTACCCATTTATACATTTCGTTTGTCGAGTCAAATACAAACAACGAATTCATGCAACAAATTTGATGGGCTAACCAAATAAGCTTGTAACAAACTAAACCAAATAACAAACTGTCCAAATATCGCTGTATATTTGTACTCCTTATAGAATAATACACCACTAAAAAATCTAAAAATTCTAACCTGACATAAACAATTCTTTAAATGTATTTTCAGAACTGCCTTCCTGACTTGTTTGATGCCTGTCAATTCTACCGCTTCTAATCTCATTTTCTAAAACTTCTGAAGAGTCATTTTCATCACTTTCGTCTTCAACACTAGAAACTTGACTTGTAGGCAAGTACTGCTGTGCTATGTCACCAGCTGTTACATTTTGACAATATACAATTGTGGATTCATTCCTAAAATACGGTATTATCAGTACAGGCATGTTAATTGTCAAAAACATATATAATTTTAGTTCTATTTGAGTGTATAGCATTGATCATAATGTTTTCACACTTATAACATAAACGCATAAACGAAAAGCAC